TATACAGCTACACAACATAAAAAAGTTTTCTATAATAGAATAGTATTTTGAAACTATAACAACTTACCCGTTTCAAGACAAATTGAGTAGTTGTACAAAAAATACAAATTCATCAAATAACAGAATCCAGTTGAGGGTCCTAATGGGTAGTAAAACAGGGCTGTAATAGGCTTCCAAAACTAGAAAGAAAATAGAGCTAAGTTATTAATAAAGTGAATATGTTTTATTATGTTAGTATTCATTACTCTAAGCCATGATTAATTCAGATTTTCAAAATGATTTTAATTTACTCCTTGTATAATATTTTTAAGAATAAATTTTATTCACATTTTCAGAGCTCAGGGGGAATAGTTTCACACATTCTGAAGAGAAGAAATTAGTACTATCCTTAAACTTACTAGAAAGAAATCCAAAAACAAGTAGGTTTACATGTAGCTTAATTTTGTATTTGAAAGTGAATGTCATTAATACACTCCCACATATATCTGAAAGGTACCATTCTTTTGAATATTTTTGTAGTTCCTCTTAAAAAATACCAACATACCTGGAAATGATGAATGAAGCCATCATAATCCAAAATAAAATATCTTGGATTCAAAAGATCAAACCTTCCAGCAAGGGGGAAGGAGAACTGACAAACCAAACCAGTAATGAGTAAATTGGGGAGACTGCGGAACCAGTTTCCAACTTCACTCATATTTAACTGTGTGACAATCTGAGAAAGGAAACATTTATTCAGTATGTAACATAATACAGTAGTCCTACAGAACAGAAAATCACACATTTATACATATTAAATATTGACAATGAAAAATCTATTACTATACAAACATTCCATTTGTCTCTAGGCACATTATATTAAATCTATTAAACAGTTACAACATTTATATAGCTAAAAAAATGTTGAAAGTAAACTCACCCACAATATATATGACTTCTTTCTACACAATATTAGCTAAGTAAAAATAAAAACAAACATTTAGTAACCCTAAATTCATGACTTAAATCAAATGCAATTTGATGATAAAAATGGAATATGTAACACCCAGAAATTTCTTAATTTACTAAGAAATATGCCAGGATGATAACTATCAATTACATCTTCCATTCTGTGAAGATAATATGTCAGTAACACTCTTTGCACCTACTTTGACCAATATTTTCTATTTTCTTGTGAAAATTGTTAATCAAAAAAGCTGCTTAAAAAGGATAAAAACTTCATAAGTTTAAAGATAAAAACATACATGTTGTCCTTTTTTAGGTGTGCTCCCTTGGGCTAGATGTCGAATGAAAGATTATCTGATATACTTGAGCAGAGATAGCCTGATTAGATCTGTAGGGTAGATTTCAGAGTAAGGGTGAATTATATACTGGAGATGGGCTCCACTTAAGCATGCTAGATAGTAAGATACTAAAAATAAATATGAAGCCGACCTATCATTTGATTCACCACTTGTTCTTAAGTTATATTGGTCTCAGGAAATTCTACTCCTCATTAGTAACATTGGACAAGAGAATATAAAAAAAAACACAAAAGCAAGACAAAAATAAATATGCAGTAAGTTGTTTAGGGAAGCTCTAAAAATATCCACTAAAGATAACTTAAACTAACTAACACCACATCTATAGCAATGATGAGACTGGAAAAAAAATATTCAGAATAGAAAAAAATTAAATATTAGTTTTAGATAATTTAAAAAAAACATGGTAGGTTAAAAGATAAGATTAGTTGCTAATATTATAATGTTATTTAGTTGTATTAGGAACAAAATGGATGAATTCATGGCTCTAACTGAAATGGAAGACTGATACAAAGGAATTACTGAAACTTCATTCATTTGAAAAACACTGTTTATAGGAGTTATTTTGAAATCCCTAATCATAAGTTATTTAATGATGAGAGGTTTTTTCAGGAGAGGTTAATGTATATAGGTTATTCAAGGTATTTTAAGGGTTGAAAGTTTTTAACTGGTAATTGTTAAAGCCTGATCAGATGAATGATATCATTGAGAAATGACATGAGATCATAGTAATTTGACATTTTGCTACATGAGAAAGTAAAAAGAAATCAAACTGGTTTTTAGTGTTATAAGACTTACTGCTGAGCCACTGGGGGGGTACCACAAATAGGATTAGCTAAGAAAGTCACATCAGTAGGGTTTGAGGAAAGACTAGTATATTGGACAGACCTATTACAGTAGCTGGATCAAAGAGAACAAAAAGCTGTCAATACCTGAGCTTGATCAAAACTGGACCCTTGTTACTAGTGTAGTGAATCAGAGGTCAGTGCTTGGATATTATTTACATTAACAATTTATAGTGGCATAATCTTCAAAGTTTTCTGAAGGCATCAAACTCTTCAGTATTTCTACTTGTATTCCAGAGTAACTTCAACCAATTAGTAAGTTGTACAAATATTTAACACAATACCTTTAATAATAGTAAGTGCAATGTAATACATTTGGGTTATCATTATTATTTGGTTCACACATTTCATGTAGATGAGAATCCCCTAAATAATGACTCAAGAGAAATATATTTAGTGATGGGCAAGTGATTTAAGCCACTGAGGCAGTTCTCTGTTGCTAGTAAAGCTAAAAGAATTTTATTATATATATTTGTTCATATGAAAATTTGAAGTAAAGAAAGGTTATTCTCTTTAAACAAATTTTCTAGTTATGTCTTACATGGAATACTGTGTACAGTTTTGGTTTCTTTATCCAAGAAAAGATATTGACTCACTAGAAATGGTTCAAGGCCACTACATGTAGGATAATTTTGAGGATGGAAGGATTATCTTATAAGGATAAGCTAACTTCTGTTAAATTAATTTTTTCTGAAAAAAAAGGGAAGAGGTGATCTTACTGAAATTTACAAAACTACCCAAGAAATAGAAAGGATAAAGACCACTAATAACATTATGCTGTATTTTGAAGATAATAGAATGAGATGACACAAACATAAGATTTGGAAAAAAGACTAGGCCTTGCTTAAGACAGTTTTATTTTATAACAGGGTAAACTGAATACTTGTAATCTCCAGGCTTGATCCAGAGTCTCTTAGAGTTCCTTTACTTTACTAGGTCTCCAGTGCTCCATACAAACTCCAAATAAAGAAGTTATTCCTGTAGCAAGCACAGTGTCTATGCATGTCTTTTCTTGCATCCAACAGATTTTTAAAAATTTTGATATGTATATATATACAAGATAAATAAAAAATTGAGAATTAAAAAACCTGCAAATAGGGTTTCTAAAAAAAAAAAGAAATAGCAAACAAGGCTGGAGATACTGTAGACATTATTTACTCAAACTACAAACCCCTACTTTGGCTCCATGCTGTTACCTAGAATTACATTTGGTGGAATCAAAATAGGAATTTGTAATTTGAGTAAATAATGTCTACAGCATCTCCAGTCTTGTTTCCTTACTGTTTTACGATCCCTATTTGCAGGTTTTTAAATTCCCAATTTTTTTACTTATCTTTTCGCTAGCTTTTTTTATGCTCAACTATGGGCCAAAAATTACTTGATAAGGTAGCTAACTTTATACACTGTAATGATAATAAACATAGCTAGTAGCTAGCTGATACGGTTCATGATGATTTACTGTAGCTATTGAATATTTGAACACATTAGTTCAAGATATAAAATGTTAAGCTGCACTGGAGATTGTCCTGAAGATTTGTTTGAGAATATAGTGAGCATTTATAGTTTCTGTTTAACTAAATTCTCTATATATAAAGTATAGCAATGGACAAATATATGCTTAGACTAAGACACAACCCCAGTAATCTCATATACAATTTTACCAGTAGAAAAGCAGCCTTTTAAAATAAAACATGTACATCTATAACATCACTTTAAATAAACATTCATGTCTTTTAACATAATTATTCTACAAATGTAATAATATTTAATACTATGTGCATTGATTTTTTTTTTTACTTCTTCACTTCATACATAATATAGGGGTTGGCTACCTAAAGACACCAATTGTATAGTACACAAAGCATTGAGTATCTACATGTTACAGTCATCTAATGTTCATCAATTATTGGCTGGTAATCCCTGTTTCACCCTTTTAGAAAAATAAAAGGTGGGTTTACATTTTCACTCTTCTTTAGGGTGGGTGTACAAGAACAGTCTTGAAGGACCAAATGGATAATTGTGGTACATGTGTTATATATGTTATTCATATACATTTTTGTTGTGAAACTTTCTTATCATTTCATTTGCTTAAAATTGCATATCACACCTGTGTCATTCACTTATATGAATACTTTAATTCTGAAAAGATGTATTTAAAGTTATCATTTTCCTAAACTGAAAATGTATTTCCAAACATACATACCTCCACTGACACTAATAGCTATTTCTCAATCTTCATCTTTGCCATTTAATGTTGTGTTCACTTTGCTCCAGTCTTCATATACCCCACTCGACTGCCCTTGGCAATATCTAATTTGCAAAACTTTACGCTGGCCCTCACATGCCCTCTATGCAGGTACTGTTTATAAGCACTTTATGCAGACAATAAAATAACTTTTTTGAGACTTACCTCCTTCCGGTCACTAACACCAGCTTTTAGTGGGAAGGAAGGGAGGGAAAATCGCACCAGTGAAAAAAGGACTTGCCTGCATGCATAAATGCCTAATTTAGAAGTGATGCTTGAACAATCAATATAGAGGGAGCTAGCTGCAGTAAGAGACAGTATCACACTCCTATTGGTAGACAGTTATTACATGCTCACTTGCATGTAACGATACAGCAATATCACATGGAAATATGTGAGATTAGGTGGGAGGCTCAAGGCTAGTGTAGAGCAAAATCGTATGCATATAAAGGGTAGCACCGAATCAGGAAAGCTAGATATGAGCTGAGGTTATGTATCATATTGGAATTCTTCTTTAATGCAATTATTGTGGCTTATAAAAATGATTTTGTTAACTTATGAGTATATTTTTATAATAGTGACAGTTTAATCAATACCACCAGAAACTACTATACTTCAAATAGTTTATTTTTTTCATAATAGTGTAAAAGTTAATTTCATTGAACACTAGTAAGTTAAATGAAATGCATCTCAATAAGTAAATCAGTAACATACATGAGCTTATATTCTATCGTTGTTGCTTGCTTTAACGTGCTACTGTAAGAAAAAGAGCACCTCAACAAAACATTAACTACAAAAATGACTTGGAATAATTAAACACTGAATCTCATTCACTCAAAACATGCAATTCCACTTAACAAGTTCTAATGTTGTTAAAACATTTGCTACCAAGTAGGAATACTCAACATTACAGCCATTAACAATAAATTTATGGCAAATCTCAGTCTTTTATACATTTTTACAGCATGTTTGAAATAAATGCTTACAAAGCTCAAATTTATCAACTCTGATGGTGTATATTAGTAAATAATGTCCATAAGTACATAGCTCCAGAATATAAAACATTACAATAAAATATCTTTACTATGTGTACAATGAGTCATAGTTATAAATAGCAAATGTTTGCATTCACTTAGTTTAAACTACTATACGTAAAAACAAAAAAAACTATAATAAAATGTATCAAAGCGAATCTCAGACCATAAAATCCTAACAAAACAATAATACTGTAAGTCATCAATCAAAATAGAGGTTTAAAACTTTCGACCTATATAAACATGTTTAAAGCTTTTGCTGACCTGATGGTGCACCTTTCACAAAAGTTACAATCATAAATTACAAATTTTTTTATCAAACTTCAATGCCAAATTTTTCTCAGGATATAAAAAATGAGTACACGTTTGTCACTTTCTACAAAAATCTACATGGTATATATATATATTACAGTGATTTTCAGGATAGCTTAAAAACAAATCACAGACAAAAGAACACAAAGCTGACTACCACCCTACAGAATCCAAAGACAAAATGCAAGTAGTGTGCTAAGTTTTAGAAGATTCTGAAAACAAATATTCCATAGAATTCAAGAAGTGACAAAGAATCAAAATTATATTTTTGTCTGAAAACCTTTCGACAATGTACGTGTTACAGCCCGTGGCATGAGAACAATAAGTTCAGAAAGGTTCAACAAAGTTTCTCTCCAAGCCATTTCCAACACTTAATAGGTCTACTACATACATGTAGTCAACATAGTGTATTTTTATATATTTAAGTAAAAAATGCTTAATATGTTATAAAATGTCGACATATCAAACCATATTTTTATATGTAAAAAGTTAAAAACACTAAAATAATAATAAAAAAAAACAAATGACATTTATATGTCTATAAAAGCTTGTATAAGTATACTGAATTAGATTTGGCACGTCAGAAGAGAATCTTATTTCAAACAACTGTTTCTCGCATTTCAGTGATAGACAAGGAAACCTGACAATCATTTGCATCAACAAAGCGATGAGTCAATCTTGGAGATTTTTCTGTTCTTTCTTGTGAAAGTTGTGTTTCAGGTTTTTTTTCAACACCTGGTTTCCATGATTCACCATTAACAGCTGCCTGCACAATTAAACCAAAGAAAAAAAAACTCAATGTACTGAGAGTAGTTTAGAATTATAGGTGACAATTTGTGTAAACAAATATATGTCAATATCTTGTTTTTACAGTTCTAGTATAAGAACACAACAAAGACTTTGTAAGTGACAAAACAAATTACACTATGAAGTGTATTTTTTGTTATTGAAATGACTAACAAATCAGGCTTTAATTTAATTCAAATATAGTCATATAAACCTTAAATTGAGGCTACAGTTTAAAGTAACTAGACCTGAATCAGTTAACCATGATACAAGCTTGAACCATAGCAATAGTCTTTTTAGACCTAATTTAATGTATTGGGTATTGGTTTTATGCAAATTTTATAGGTTTAGTAAATTTATGTGAATAAAAAAAAGTGTATCAGGAAGCAGTATATGCAACTAAAGTTGGAGAAGCACATACACATAGGGTAGAAAATTCTGAACATTTTATACTGCATCTAATCAAGTGTAGTTTTGTACTGGATAAGACTCAATACTATACCTAAAGTACAGTAGCCTATAGTAGTTTTCATTAACCTTCTTTAAAGCAGAACATTAATAAGATATCTTTTCCTACAAGCAACTCTTAATTTTATTTCTTCAAGCATACACTAATATGTGGGATATCATCCTCTACAGAAATTACAATAAACCAACTATTCTAAACTCTCAACCAAAAACTACTACATACCATCAAGTAGATGAAAGCACCCATGAACAAACACATTCCACCCAAAAATGTTGGAAGCATGAAACAACAAGGCATTGCTAGGCTGTAAGATTGTAAATAATAATGAGCATACAATTTACTAAGTTAATCATAAGTTGTTACTTACTGTATTACTTAACCCATTAACTGTGGATGACGGATATTTTCATCATTGAAGTTCTATGGCTCAGCTGTGAATGACGGAAATATCCGTCAGTCACACATATATAACTATAACTCTATGCGAATGACGAAAATTACCGTTTTATTGTGATTGATGGCAACTCAGTTTTATCTGTGAGTCAGAAAATGGCAACTGAGCTGCTCCTGCAGCAGTTAATGGGTTAATAAAGTTTGAAATATACCATCAAATCAGACTAATATGCGTATATATCTATCTCACTTTTGAACATGTACTCAGCACTACAATTATGATTAACTCATACTGCATGTAAACTCATTTGATTATGTAAAAAATTAGTTTAAGCTAAACATCTAACTAGAGCATACTCTGAGTTGTTTATAAGGTTAGAATCAATATAATAAAAGCTTAACTTCTGGAATATAGAATGCTAGAAGTACAAATTATCTATGAACTCTATCCAACCAACAATATTTAAAGTATGTAAAATATATATAAACTATTACATTTTATAAAAAAATTCTATTGTTTGAAGTATTTCATGCATGAACGTTTTAAGATGATAGAATTTACTATTAGGTTTCTCAAAAGATAAATTAATTTTAGTGTGTCCATTGGATAATACCATGTATTGTTAGAGGTCATTTTATGGCATGTGTGACAAGACAGGTTAGCTGATTGGTTTCTAAGGATGTTTGAGTTTCAGAAATTTAAAGATCCCACCCCAGAAAAAACACTGAAAAACTATTAATTGATCAGTATTTGATCAACAAAATAATTACTAAAGCTAACAGAATGCAGTTTAAAATGTGTGTGCTAAGCCTGAAACCAATTTAGTGAGTGTTATTGAGAGACCTATTTTTAAATAATACAAGTTGAGGATTGAGTACATTATTTAAAAAATAGAAATTAATATTCAACTCACCAAAAACACACGATCCACAGCCAACATAATGCTGTGGTGAAAGAGTATGCATTATAATTACATTTTGACATTGATTGCCATTTCATAGATAATGTGATGCTACCAAAAACTGATCACTTTTGAGAAGGGTATGTAACAGCCTATTCCTAAAACAAAAGAACTACCTAGGAAGTCATAAAAGTAACTTTAAAGATTCAGATCAAGAGTTTGGATGACTAATGACTATATTAACTCATACCATTTAAAACAGTATTTCTGTTTCACTGCTAATTGCATTCTTATGGTGGATTAATTACTACAGTTGAATCTATAAGTATCAGTTGTGAAAGATTAAAATGTCAGAGATAGTTCAAATTGTTAAGTTCCTAATTCTGACTTCATATTTAAACTAATCAATGTCGTTAGCAGCCGTGAGTGTATGAACAATTATAACCATTATTAAAATTTGAAAAACTGAAATAAGATAAACTGCTTTACACATGGAATGAGTCAAATTCATTATTCTGTCAAAATTCTGAATGGTGATCCAAGTTTCACAAACATGGTTCTTGAGTTTTACCTAACATCTCAAGATAAGCAAAGCTAACCAAATGTTCAGAAAAATATCTGTAAAAGATCTCTCATCCTTGTATTGTTGAGTTTTGAAACGTAACTTCATCTATCTCAGGCTCAATCATATGAAAATAATCATTTGGTTAAATAAATGTTAAATGCATAAGCTTATAAAGCTTTCGTACATATTTTTATTTTAGAAAATTCTGTTGTTTGAAACAGTAAATATAAAAACTTTATAATAAACATTAAGCTTACAATAAACAACAATACATATAATGTGTCAACTTACCACATGTATACACAAAAGCGGACATAATAGTTTCGTGCAAGTGGTCCAGTAGCAGAAACATAAAGAACAATGCATTCCTGCAACCTGTATGATAACTTTAGTTATTAATACTGGTTTTTATTCCTTATCTCTAATAGCTATGTAAGCTTGAATGTTAAAGAAAAACAAACTATAAGATATTTTTACTAATTGCATGTATATTTAAAAAATGTTAAGATTATTATTATTAATACATTTTTGATACTGAGCTTCATGCTTAACACTGTATAACAGTAACAATAATATGGTACAAACCCTGGTCTCTCTTTTTTTAACACCTGATTCCAGAGCATTTTACAGTAACTTCACATTTAACTAAACAAAAATGAAACTATATGAAATCTTAAATTAGCTCAATTTTTTTTTTACATCTGTGTTTTCTGATCATTTTTTGCAAACATTAAATTAATTAACCACTCCAGCAGTTAAGTTTCGGCTAAAAACGAATATCCCACAAATTTCTGTCCAGAAGGTTAAGACTCCAATATGACTATCATAATCATTCAGTGATTTTAAATTCACAAATTACTTAAAATAAAGACAAACAACATGAAAATGGAAGTAGCTAGCAGAATTTCTCATGTCAATTTAGTTATACTGGTTGGCAGAATTTAACGTTTCAATAATTTTTTCTTTTTTCATATGATACTCACAATTTAGCTCTAATAAATTAAAAGCACTCAAGACTTTTGAAGATCCTTCAATTGTAATACATCTATGTCTTCTTGCACAAGTCTGTTTCCAACAAGATTATTTTATTTGTTTAAAAGGTCTTTTAAGGTATTCATTATAGACAGAGAGCACTTTGAATATTGTTGCTGGTTTGGTACAACATGGACAAACTCCTTGACAATTTCAGTAGCCTGCTGACTTGTAATGTGTGAGAGTGATAGGCCTAACCATAAAATGAGTGACAAATGATTACAGAGAGAAGCTTTTGATAGTTTACATACTATTACACAGAAATTTATTTCTTGTTAATCTAGTGTTTCTGAAAATAAACAAAAATTACATTCACATTCATGAACTTAAATTTTTTTACAAGTATTATAATGTTTAAAATGTTTAAATCATTGATTTGTTATTTCATCAATGCAGGACACTGTCAAATTATCTAAAGAGAATTAAAGCATCAGTATGATATCAGTTACAGTGCCAAATTAATTTCAGAAAAAGAAAATAATTAGTATCGCATTTTACAGTGAATAAATAAAACAAATTCTGCACAAGTTACAGTTTAAGAAAAGTTGAAAATGTTAAGTAGGCTAGGTTTGAATAATTATGTTGATATGAATCTTACACAAAAATTAATACTTATGACAATTAGTTTTTCTACTAGAAAAACATGAAGTAGTTTTCACACCTATGACAAAACATTCTGTATAGAAGATCGCTACGACAGCAATTAGTAGAGGAAGGAAGGAGAGTTTTAGTCACATTAGTTACAAATTTGGACATATTCTAGATAGCCATTGACAGTTAGATCAGTTAAACAAAAACTAGTTCATAACATAACATGTGGACAACCAGGGGCTATAAGATCCTCTCCTTACACACCTAACAATGAGAAAAGTAAAATCCTGTCTTAAACTGGCCTCTACTACAACTTATGGTAACTCATTTCATAAGTCAATCACCCTGACAGAAAGCCAAAAGTGTCTTAACTGTAGCTTAGCCTGTCTTTTCCAAATTTTAAACTTTTTTTCTTTCATCTTAATTTCTTCAAATATAGCACAAAGAAACCAGAGATTTTCATCCTATCAGTCCAAACAAATAATCTTGTAAACTTCATTAAAATCAACATTTAATATTCATTACTCAAGAAAAAATAAGAAAGCTTAACCTACCCTTGTAAGGTAACCCATCTCTAGAATTATTCTACATATAGTAACCCTCCTTGAACCCTCTCCAATAAGTTAATATCCTTTCTTAGATAAGGAAACAAAACCTACACCCACTATTCCAAGTGAAGATAACTAATGTTCTTTACAACAAAGAATAATTTTGATGTACAAAACTTAATTGTCTTATTCTCACTTCTGATTCTACAGTTTAATGATTTCTATTTTTACCATCATGGGTAACTTCTAAATAAACATTTAAGTAAAAAAATAATAATATGAGGAACATATTTATTATAAGTAGGTTTTCATTTTCTCTATGACCCACAGTCTGTTTTAACTCTCTGCTAGAGATATGTATTATGGAAAGGTGACACTTCTAAGCAACACATAATTAATAAAAATAACAAAAGCTCTAAAGTCTAAAGCAGTGTATCAGACTCAGATTTATTGACACATTTAGTAGCTATCAGTTCCACTTGCATTCAGACATAAATTGTAGATACACTTGGTAACATGTCATGGAATGATTTCCCTTTCTGTAAGTGTTTGGCCAAAGAAAATATCACACCTCTGTTCGTGGCTGGTATGTAAGTCACGTCAACTTCTTGTCACGCTAAACCTAGACTGAGTATGCTTGGTCTGTTGATATGCTTTCACAGTGATACATTTATTTCCCACACACCCCCTATCTCAAATCACCAGCACATCTGTTTATTGCAGAGTTTGCTTACTTGAGGATAAGTCTGAGACAGCTTTAGAGAAGATTATACAAATAGATTGGGGGGGGGGGATAATATTAAGATTATAAAGCAAAGATGTAAGATGGAAATTGATAGAATTAGGAAAAAGGTGCTTGCAATGAGGAATAAGACAATGAAGATGCTTTACATAGTAAGGGGACTCATTACACATACTGATGAAGTGATTTGTAGTGTGTGATGATCTAGTTATGTAACAGAGCGACTAGGTCATCTACATTAGCCTCAACTAGCTCTTACAAAGGCACATTGAGTAATCTTGGGAACCGTTTATTACCACATAAGGACAAGTGACATTCACAAGCTAAGTCGCAAGTCCAATCAGGCACCAGTGGTGGCTACATGATATTCTCTGTATAAACAGTACTAATGAAAAAAACCACTAATAAAAAAAACCTATTGATAAAAACTATTTTCTAACTTGGCAGTGAAGTTTTTATATATTGCATTTGAGCATATGTCAGTGTCACATGTTTATAATACTAGTAACTCACAAACCAATCAACAATAAAAATCCAATATAGTGTATCACTGAGTTACATCATGCACTGTAGTATAAACTTAGACAAGATCATTGTATGAAATGTAAGTAAGAAATTTGCAAGTAATTATTAATAGAAATTATGTATGTGTAATGTAAATAGCATATAATAATATAATATGTATGATTTTATAATACTAGTAACTCACATACCAATCAACAATAAAAATCCAATATAATGTATCACTGAGTTACATCATGCACTGTAGTATAAACTTAGACAAGATCATTGTATGAAATGTAAGTAAGAAATTTGCAAGTAATTATTAATAGAAATTATGTATGTGTAATGTAAATAGTGTATAATAATATAATATGTAATGATTATGTGCTAACAGTTGCTTGCATCTGAAAAAAAGAAATAATGCTTACTTAATTCCTCACAAGTGAAAAACATAAAAAAGTTAAGACAGAATTTGCTGCCCCACTCTGTCATTATTAACAGATCAACAAAGAGTGGGCATGTGTCTGAGGATTGGAAAGTAGGTAATGTTACCTATATTTTAAGGGTGGGCAATAAGAGTTACCAATTAGTTGTACTTTTGTTATGGGAATTTTCTTTATAGAGTCTGATAAAAGATGCTACGAAAAAAAATCATTTAATGAAAAAATTATATCATAAAAAAAAGCCATCACAGATTCAACAAAAAAGGAAACACATCTTACTAACCTTGTAAATGTTTTCAAGGATGTTACTTATCTGAATGATGAAAAAGGGATGAACTTGGCAATCTTAGATTTTCAAAAATCTTTTGATAAGATGCCAACCAAAAGTTTAGAAACTAAAATTACATCAGTAGAGTTTGTGGAAAGACTAGTTATTTGAATTGTAGAGTAATTGAAAAGCAAATGGAGTATAATCAAACTAGACTCTTATTATTAGTGGAATACCTTAGGGGTAAATGCTAGGGCCTTTGCTTTTTACATTAATGATATTAATAGGGACATAATTAATTCATCAGTAAAATATGCTGATGTCATTAAACTACTGGATATACTTGCTGTACAGAAGATGTTGAGATGCTACAGAATGACTTTCATCATTCAATATAGTAAACAAATATTTTGCAAATGACCTTTATAGTAAATGCAAAACAAAGCACTTGTAGTTATCATTTGGGTTATTTACTTTGTGTCACACATTTAATATAGATTGGAATTCATAAATAGTGTGACTGAAAAAATGGATCTTAACATAAATCACTCATGCAATCAAGGCAGTACTTTGTTGTTAGGTAGCAAAGCTAACAAAAATTTTAGGGTGTGTAGAATGATTAAATGTCAAAAAATGTAATTATCTCTCTGCCAAAATATAGTTAGGTCTCACTAGAAATACTGTTTACAGTTTTGGCAGTGCTGTACATTGCATGTCAGGAGCTCCATAACAAAAACATAATTTGGGCTATATTTACTGCATTTTCTTAACACTTATCTAGAATACTAAGTAAATATTTGCACTTACCAAGCCTTAGTAAAAATGCCTATCTTATATGTATATGTGCAAGCCATGTGACAAGTCCAAAAGGCTATTACAGTAATCTTGTTAAGCTTAAGAGATTATTCAGGAGATTGATAGGCTAAAGGCCTCTAATTCCTTTATGTTTTATTTTGGATACAGTAAGATGACAGGATACAAGTTTGAGATTTTTGAAAAGATACACTATGCTCCAGCTAAAGGCATTTATATTTCTCTAAGTAACTAGCTTATGGAAAAAGTTGCCATCAGCAGTACTAGATGCTTTCACTTTATAAGAGTTTAAGAGGAGAATTGATAATTTCCTGAAAAATAGAGGATGGGTTTAATTTTACTTTTCTCAAGGGTCTCTGTGTGTTAAAAAACAGTACTGAAGGACTAAATGGTTCATCATTGCCTGAATCTTATGTTAATGAATGAATATATTAGTGATATGTGAACTTCAATATAAGAAAAAAAGACTACAACTAACCAATAAGAAATTAGCACAAATCATTGTCTAACATAATGAAATCTCAGCAGCATACTATTAAAAAAAAATCAGTTTTTGATGGGTGCAGTTTGAAGAACATTACAAGATGAAAAACATCCAGATACAAGGATAATGTCATTCAAAGATTTTTAACATCAAGTTATCCAAATATCCGAATTACCCCAGAAATAAATAAATAGAGAATATGAATGGGATTAGAATCAGCAAGAGAACTATTTGAAGGCAGTTTCAATAAAAAAAGCAATTTTTTCACAAATGAACAAGGTCAATTATTAGACTTTGCAGAGGATGGATTAGAAGAATTGAAAAACAAATGAGACAATTTACTATGGACTGACAAAACAAAAAACTGAGGTTTCTAGATACTCTAGGATAATTCTGTAGAGAAAATGTCCACAAGAATAAGAATGTATAAACAAAACAGTAAAACAGATTGGTGAGCCTTCAATGGTGTGTGTGGATATTTTTTTGCTGCAGAGTGGGAAGTCTTGATGATATTATTAAGGAGTAATATCTTAATCCAACCTGCAATAACTAGTGGCCTACCTCTAAGTTCCAATGCTAATCCAATTTAAAAATTTGTGTCACAAGTTAAAAGGGTCATTTAAGCCATTATTTGACAGTCTATCTGTGTGTCTGCTTATAATTGGCAAACTGCTGAACCAATTATCACCAAACCTAGCATATATCCTTAGAACCCCACAGGGAGTGACATGGGTAGGGGGTTTTGTGTATGGAACTGAATTCCCTATATCATCCCCTGTGGTCCCTATGTCTTCCTAATGCATTTAGCAGGTAGTTTATCTGGTGTTGCATAAAAGAAGCCAACCTACATCAACTCTATGGAAGTGTACAGTAAAAATGGGTAAAATACTAGTTCATGGGCTAAAGATAAAAAGGGGAGAATCCACATCTGATCAATATCATCTTATTAATGCTAATGTAAGAACTAAGGAATACTAACTAACTTATTTTAGTTGACATGCTCCAAAATGAGTTTCTTATATGTGTATAAACATGTTAGCTACAAGAACAGATTTATTTTATAACCTTTCCTGAAACACTTGTGTGTTGAGACCTTGGATTCAAGACTTATAACTGTTGCTGTACTGTATATCATATAATAAACAATTAATATAGGATAATGTTTCCATTTGATGGACATTTCTGACATTGAAGTTGATTTTTTCAGATGAACTGCTACAAATTTTCAATTTTAAAATTCTTGAGTAAATCATCAGACAAATACAATTAATATCTTTAAGTTAATCAATGATAAAAAAAATATACATTTAGGTCAAGTTAAACTACTATTATGTATGTTTGTTGTATCATAAACAATACATATGCAGTAACTTGTTCATATGTGGATAGCCGTCACATAAAAATAAACAAAATGTGCTCTTCAGATTCACAAAATTGCAATTGATAGAGATAACAACACTTATTAACTTGACATTGAATTTATTTTTGAGAAACTAACATCAAGATTTTCTTCTACTCTTGAAATGTTTCATGCAAGTTGTAATAGTCAAATATAATAATATAATTTGGTGTATTTTTAACCTATCTGTAGAACAGCTGGACACTAACCTCCTCTTTTTTGTTTGTCCTTTTTTATTCAAGCCTCTTGGAAACTCAATAAATAGCACACCAATTCCTGTAATTCTGTATCAGTCAAGTTTTAATTAACAAACAGAAACACACACACACATAGTTGTATATATATCACTCAACCATAATTAACAGTACTTAAAATAAGCTTTAAATGAACTATGTATATCACCATTAGTCAGCTTAAAAGATTTAAATGTATGTACACATGTAACTGTCTAATTGACAAGATAATTAAGGATACAGGCCAAAGACAGCTATTCCCCATTTATCAAATATTCCACAAAGTCCAACTGATGCTCCTATGATCAAAACTGTATATATACAAAAAAAATAGTGTGTTAAATGAATACTGTTTTACAATATAGCAGTCACATGTATAGCAGTTTAAACAATTCAAGAGAGGTATAAAATTAAAAATTACTCCAAAATATTAATAGTATTTCTTTAATGAAGCAAGTTTAAAATATGCATAAGGTCAAGTTTTAATCTTTTATGACATGTCTTGTGCAGAGTGGTTCTCATTTCTTAAGAACTTAACAATGATTTCATTTTTCTTCAAATAGTTGTTGTTTTAATATGTAGAATTTAAAAGCTTGAAAACAAATAAGCTTAATATTCTAAGCTCTTCACTGCAAATAAATTTATCAGCATACTTAATCCCCACTACATAAAGCTTTTGTTTAAATTGTTGAAAAAATAACTCAAGACATTAAATGGCCAACATTTTAAAGTTAGTGGTAGAACTTTTCATCTGGCAATATTTTTTTAGTGATAACAGTCCAATGTTGCTTATCCACTGTAGGACAGCAATAAGTTAACAATTTCCAATGCTAAGATCTGTAATTTGATTCCTTGTAATGGACAGAATACAAATAGCTCATTATTTAACTTTGCACCAAGAAAAGAAAATGTTGCTCGTTAGTTTAATGCTTTACAATTTTAGGCCAACATTCTTAGCTTATCTTATGCTCAAAATCTTGTATTTCCAATTTCATTGTTACCTATCCATCCTATTGGTTTGTTCATTTCCAATTTCCCAAGCTTCTCACTACTATGCCAATTAAGTTACAACTATATTCAGTGAATATCTTCAGAGCTTCCTCAAACATCCTACTACCTAGCCTCTTTAGGTTGAGCTCATCTAATCTAATGAATGTAATTCACCATTACCCTGGAAACTATTCCACAGGTCCAACCAGCCCACAGTTGCTCTAAGTGTATCCTTTTTAGAATAAAAATCTTGCTACTACAAGTACAAATATGATATTTATAATTACAAAATTTATAGGTGCTTCCTTCATTTAGTTTCATTTTTTAAAGCAGTCTTATACTGTTTTCATTCCTTTTCCAGTTAATGAGAATCTTGTTTGGAGCAACTTCCTATCCATTTTGATGAAAATACGTTTATCTCTACTGCACAAATTACGATGACTTTTATTTTTAAATTTAAATGTGGTACTACTACTTCGGTAACTAACAAAGTTAGTACTAAGTTAATGCTTACTGTACGAGCTTGCCAAAGTTTGTTCATTTGCCCAAACAGCCCATTCCATCTGACCCATTTTTGTCGTTGTTGATGACACTTTGACTTTCGCTTTCAAATTCAAGGAAGATTTATCTCAGCAAGCTGAGCCGACTACGTTAAAATTTAATGTACTAAGCCTATTATTCAGTAAACGTTAATACCAGAAAAATAATTTTAACGTAATACTGTAGTTATAATGTTATATCCAGTAACAGCAAGTTAAAACAGAAACTAGTTACATGTTAATTATTTTAATCAATAATATTAACATTGTGATTTGTATATATCATATGATAATCATCAAACAGCACTACAACTCCATTTATTAAAGCGAATGTCAATCACGAATTAATTGCGACATAGCAACCACTAGGAGGCAGGTGAAATTGGAATTTTAAACTTCAAAGGCATCTTGCGCATGTAGGCTAAACAAACATTCTAAAATCCCAAGGGTGAAAAAAAATGTACCCTAGGTTTCAGATATATCAGTCCCAAATTTTGAACTACTTCCAGAGAGAAGGCAGCCAGATAGTATCCGCCACCACAAAGGCTTTACCCAACTTCTTTTGAACTAAAAAACAGGGTTGATTGTGATTTTCGTCAGCGTGTTTAGCGGTATCTCATCACAAACCTTTCGATTCGCCTGTTTATTTGTTGTTGTTTTTTTTAATTTCGCGCAAAGCTACACGAGGGTTATCTGCGCTAGCCGTCCCTAATTTAACAGTGTAAGACTAGAGGGAAGGTACTAGTCATCATCACCCACCGCCAACTCTTGGGCTACTCTTTTACCAACTCGATTCGCCTATGGCAAAGGATTGTCAGAGGGAAGGTGGGGGGGGGGGGGGG